TACTTCAGCACCTACTATGTGCCAGGCACTCTAGGAGCTGAGAATACTGATGAACATGGTAGACAAATTACTGCCCTCGGGGAGCTTCTATTCTGGTGAGGAGACAATGGTAAATAAGAGAGAGGAGTAAACTATGGTGCATTAGATGGCGATGCATAGAAAAACACACACGACGTGTCGGGTGAAATTTTGGACAAGGAGAAGTCATCTGGGGGAAGAGTATTCCAGGCAGAGGGAACAGCAAGTGCGAAGCCCCGGAGGTGCTCCTGTGGCTTGAGGATCAGCAAGGCGGCCAGTGTGGCTGTGGGGGGCTGAGTGAAAAGGGGAGGCCAGGTAGGAGGCTGGAGGGAACACGAAGGGCCGCTCCTAAAAAAGCCCAGAGCCTTCCAGAAGTAACAGCTGGAGACTGTGGCAGCACCGAGGTTCTAGGCCAGCAGTGGACTGAGCATTCGGAGAACTTTTATGTGAGTGTGAGCACATGTGCACCCCGGAAAGCCTGGAGAACACCCTGACAGAGTCTTTGTCCTAAAGTAGGGCTTGCCTGGACACTGCGTATGGCTCTGGGACCTGTCCTGCCCAGCTCCCTAAGGAGCCACAGACTCAAGGAAGGCATGTTGGCCTGCCTCACACACCCAGGCTGCCTGTGCTGAGGGAGACGATGGGGTCAGAGCGAGGCAGCACACAGCCAGGGCAGGTCTCCATGCTGCCAGCAGGTGCTGATCCAGGGAGGAATGAACCCTGCAGCCTTGGGGCTCTTGAGAAAGAAGGGAAAACCTGGGAGGAGAGAAGAACTTCTTGCATTTCATGGCCTGGGGGGCATGGAGATGTTGTCATTTGAATGTTAAACCCAAATATCCTGGACAGGTGGCTGGGTAAACAAAGTGAGGTACATCCATTCAATGCAGCTCAGCGATACAAAGGAGAGACCAAGGATAGTGCAACCACATGGACAGTCTCAAAAAAATATGCTGCAAGAAGCCCGGCAGAAAAAGAATACACACTGTCTGGTTCCATCTATAGGATTCCAGAAAACACAAACGATAGGAAGCAGGTTATTGGTTGCCTGGGCCGGGGAGCGAGGCGGGGCTGGGACAGGAGGCAACACAAGGGGATCGACTAAACTTTGGGGGGAGATGGATACGTTCATTATCCTGACTGTGGTAATGGGGTCACAGGTGTGTACGTAGGTCACAGTGTACCAATTGTTCACCTTAAATATGTGCAACTTTATTGTATGCCAGTTATATATCAGTAAGGTTAAACATGTAAACAAACACTCCCCATAAAGGTAGGTTGTCAGGAAGAAAAAAATAGAAGATGTGACTTAATTTTGTAGCACAAGATTTTTTTTCTATTCTATTTTGTAGAAAGTTTATAGCTATATATTTAAAACATGATGACATCTCTATTTTATGGATATTATCATTACATACATGGTTATGTACTATAAGTATACTCTATGTATTATACATGTATTACATATGTGTTTGCTTTTAAATATTTTCTATTTTCTCTTATATGACGTTATACCTTTATAACTATACTTAACACACTGTACATAATTTATGTATATTCGTTATGTATAATTTTGCACTGACACATTTTATATGAAAGCACGCGTGTGTGTTTATGAAGAGAACACCAGATGTTGGCTGGGGTCTCTTGGCTCCCAGTTGCGGGGTAACACTGATTCGAGCCCCCATTCCACAAGTCAAAGCTCTGGCCAAGCGTCCTCCCAACCCCCAATAATTGGAAGCTCTAGATCCCCAGCTCCTCCTAATCTGCTCGCAGCCCTGCCTCCTGGTATCAGTTCACAAACCAAACGCAACATCTCCCCCCTCCCCACATCCCTAGCAACTTCAGAGACAAGGCTGATGCCTAAAAACCACACAGTCTTGAACACGGGGAAGCACAAGCAGCACCGCATAGCAGACAGCTTCAGGTGGCGCGGTGCTCCTCGGGCCGCCCAGCCTCCCGTCCGGCTCCCCCTTTCCAGCCCCTCCTCTCTGTCCCCTCCCTGCTGGACCATCTTCTCTGCCCCCCAATTCTTCTCTTCAGAGGGCATTTCTGCCTGCCCGACACCTCCTCTCAAACTCTCAGACTGCTTTGCAGAACAAAAGGCTGACAGAGACAGTGGTGGCCACTGACAGCTTTCTCCTGCCTCCTGCGCGTATGTACGGGTTTGCACTCCACGGGCACATGCACACGTACTTACATGGTAAAGAACTAGACCAAAATGCTAACCCAAAAAGCAGCGCCTGGCTGGCCCCCCCATCCTCCCTCCCCATGGGCCCTCCAAATTCCTGCCTCTCCCCCTCACTCTCTGAAGTGTCTTTCCTTCCTGTCCTAACTGTTGCTCTGTGTCCCCACTCTCTCCCTCTGGGGGCTGTACTTCCTGAGTTAAGTCACAAGCCAGCCAGTACAAAGGCTGAATAAACAGTCGGTAGAAATTAGCTGGAACGTTCAGAGAGAAGAACAAAGACTTCCGACGGGAGCTGGGGATGGAATCATAATTGCCCGAGGAGCCGCCCGGCGCCAGGCTGCAGGAGACACAAGAAGCGGGGATGTTGACAGTGGCGGAGACGGGCAGGTGCGCTGAGGATTTGATAAGTGGAAGGGCGAGAATTCTAATGAATGAAGATGCTGAGGGAGAGGGGAATTGGGACTGAGAGAGGACAGACGCGTGAGGAGTCCTGAAGGCAGCCAGCTGAGGACATGCCTGGACAGGGGGTCCCAGCCTCATCCCCATCCCCCTGCCCAGCTCAGAAGGAAAGGGCCCCTGGAGGCAGGAGCCTGGCCAGCAGGTGATTGGATGGTAGCCTCACCCTGGAGCCATAATTACAGCCCAGGAGGCATTCCACGGTGGTCCCAGGGGATGAGAAGAGGGGAGACCAGCAGTTGGGTCTTTAATGTGGAGGAAATGATGGGGCTCCCTGGTCCAAAAGGAGGTAGACCCCACCCTAGAAAGACCCCCAAAAGCAGACAAAGATGGCCTTGTTTCAGAGACTTCTACAGAGAAACATCAGCACATCCTCCTGTCCTCACCCCCACCCAAGCAACAGCTGAAGGACATAAACAAAATACTTACCCAGCACATGCTGGGAGCCAGAAACTTCACATGTAATCCCTCCCACAATTTGAGGTGGCACCATTACTACTGGCCCTAGGTTACAGATGCGCACTGAGGCCTGGAAAGGTTAAGTAACTTCCCTGAGATTACAGAGCTCTTAGCTAGTATGCCGGCCCGGGGGCTTCGTCTCTGTGGACTGCCTTTGCAAGTTGGGAGGGTTCAGCCTTAGGGGCACACATTTGTGGTCGGATACCCTGGTGTTCAAGGGTCTAAAACCCAGCAGGATATGGCCTTTCCTCCATTTGACCTCACACCATGTCCTGCCAGACCCAGCGTGGATCCCCCGGAGTCTAAGGTGGGATGGGCCCCACATGTCCAGACCTCCTCGCCATGGTGCATGGGCAGTGAAGTGCTCTGGGCGAGTTTCCTCATTTAACCTCCTCCCGCTCTGCCTGAACGCACCTCCCTCTGGCTTTACGGGGCTCGGAGGAAGGCCTTCCTGACAGGGCTGTGAGAGGCTGGAACCCAAAGGACAAGGAAATAGTCATGGAGTGACTTTCTGGGCATTTCATCCTCTGTTCACCAAGTTTTCACTGACCAAATATTTTTGAGGGCCTATGATGTTTCATATGCCAGAGTTTCAGAAACTTAAAAAACTTATGTCTTGCTTTCAAGGGATTCAATACCAAGAGGTGATGTCACAGCAAAAGGATACAAGGTGCTCTGGGGACAGGCGGAGGCTGAAGGTATGGGTTCAGAAATACTTCCTGGAGCAGGGACCTCGCCATGTGTTAGGGAAAGAAGGGAGAGCCAGCAGTGGAGAGAGTCCTGGGAGACAGAGATCAGAGACCTTAACCTTTCTTCTTTTTTAACAAAAAATATATTTTTAGTGATTTCAGAGAGGAAGAGAGAGGGAGAGACAGAAACATCAATGATGAGAGAAAATCATTGATCGGCTGTCTTCTGCACACCCCACACTGGGGATTGAGCTCACAACCTGGGCATATACCCTGACCAGGGATCGAACCGTGACTTCCCTGGTTCATAGGTCGATGCTTAACCACTGAGCCACACAGGTCAAGCGAGACCTTAAACTTTGCGCAGTTTGGAAGGACTGGCTTGAAGGCCGAGGGTGAGGTGAGCCCGGAGGCCCACACGGGGCTCTACAGCCTTTCAAGACGGCATCAGTGGTCTCCCCTGAGGGTGGTGAGGTTGACTGGTGCCCACGTCAAACCTGGAAATGAGAAGAAATAAACCTCCCAGAGTGGTTTCCCTAAAAGAAATGGAGACGCCCTGCCTCCCCCAGGAACGTGCGCGTTCCTGTTGCTAAGTGGCTCTGTGTTCTGTGTGTCCTCAGGCCCGTGGACACGCCATAAATATTCATGGCCGGGAAATCAAGGGGAGGCCCACCTGCTCCTGGAGGAGACTGTCTGAGGCTCCTGACTTCCGTCCTCCTGCCTTTAAATGCTAAGTCAAAGCCCAGGCAGGGCTACTCCTTCTAAAAGCCCCGCTTCCCTAATTTGTTTAACAAAAGACATGTCCATGCTCTGTGGCCTCTTAATTTCTGTAGATGTTAAAGTGCAGAGAATTAAAGAATCAATGGGCAATTACGGAGGCACTGGCAGGTTTTGGCCAAGAGCATATTATTTATTTATTCAGCCAGCCACGCTCATTTTTAAAGCCTTAACTTTCCATTTTGTTTCTGACATCAAAAATAAATCAAACTAAACTGTACACATCATAGCAGAAAAAAATTATTTGCATGATGCATTGCCCCTATGAAGGCTCAGTAGCCACCTGCAAAAAGAATTTTGTCTGTCAGGAAAAAAATAAAAAGATGTAAGTTCATTCTGGCACTGGCCTCCCCTCAGGACACAGATAGGATTGGAAAGATAGAAATAAGGTTTTAATTCGCTAGTGATTTTCCCACCTGGTCTCAAGCTTCTTTTTCATTTCTGAGCATCCATTTTCCTGGATCGTCTTGAGAGGGTTGCAAGATTTTAGTCCATTAACACAGCGGTGCTTTGGTGAAGTTTCAGAACGGGAAGAAATAAACAGCCATTAGTGGCCACAAAGGCTGCCCCAAAGGCTCCTGGACTGGGGCCTTTGCCCTAAAATGGGGGTTCCCCAGTGACACCATTTGACATCCCTTATCTAAAAAGAAAAGTACAAAACCACCACCCAGTCTCTTGCTCCTTAACTGCTCCCTGGTTTGTAGGAGTTCTGTCCACACGTGGACAATTTGGAATTGTTCCTTCACTCTCCCCTCTCCCACTGCCGCCCTTGCCCCTCCAGCAAGCCCTCTGTGCCCGGGGTCCTACTCGCTTACCCAAGCTACCCCAAAGCCAATTATAGGACAGCAATTCTCAAACTTCAGTGTGCACCAGAACCACCTGGGTGGGTGTTACAATACCGTTTCTGATTCAGGGGGTCTGGGGTGTGGCCTGAGAATGTGCATTTCAGGTAAGATCTGAGAATGAGAGTGAACCCCTTGGAGAACCTGTTCTAAGGCAACTACTGTAGGAGGGATTATTTCTAGAAACTTGTGCTGTGGCGCCATCTAGTGGTTCAAGACCAGAGAACTTCAGGGTTTGTGTGGAGTGTTTGCTTGTATCTGTTTTTTTTTAGGTAAGTTTTTTATTGAAATTAAATGATCTCTTTTCATCCTCTGAACAATCACAGGGCAGAACTAAGACTGGAGGACAGATCTTTTGAGGCCATAAACTCTACACAGAGCCCCCCAATTTGAGAAACACTATCTGAAAGGGTGTGACCTCTAAATGGTGTGCCCTTACCCAGCCTTGCCACCCTTTAGAAAAAAACAAGTGTGACTGCATTTCATTTAACCCGCTATAACCACAGTATTCCTCTAACATGTAACCATTCTTCTTCTCGTAAAGTATATATTTTCCACTGACAACACAGCTCAACTTGGACAAGAAACATTTCAAGAGCTCGACAGCCCTGGTGGCCAGCGCCTGGCTTACTGAACGTGCAGCTCTCCATGTGGCGTGCAGTCCGTCCGAACTCGGTGATGAAGGCTGACGGAAGCATTCAGTGATCTGCATGTCAGCATCATTTGTGAGCTCTTTCCACCAGGGCCCATACTAAGTACTTGACGTGCTTTTGCCAGTTCAGCCTCATGTCAACCCTGCTGTGCTCTCAGGACTGGAGATGCTGTGGATCGACCGCCACCACGTCCACATGTCCACGGGCACAGAAGGAAGAAATGGGGCAAGAGTCCGAGCTGGGCTGCTGCAGGTAGCGAGGGCTCTGGCAGGGGAGACAGAGGCTGGAAGCTGGCGCCCAATCAACAGAGACGATGGGGATGAGAATTTACCTCTGAAGCAGATTTGGGGTGAGGGTAGGAGCCAGACTGGAACCACACGTCTGGTTGGACAGGACTCACTGGTGGCAAACAACAGATACAGTTTAGGGGTTTACTGGAGGGCAACTGGGGAACCTGGCAGGACTCAGCAGGCCTCGGGAGGGGAGCTAACTGGGCAGCAAGCATTTAGAGCTGTCTCTCCGGACCAGGGTTCTCCTTCCCAGCAGCACATCGGAGTCACCTGGTGAGCCTTTTAATGTCTCAATATGCAAGTAACTACTGAAGCTGAACATATTCCTACCCCGTGGCCCAGCAGTGCCAGGTGCAGGCCCAAGAGAAATGAAAACAAATCCACCAAAAACACAAGAATGAATCATAGCAGCTTCATTCATACGGCCCCAAACTAGGCCTAAATGAACATCAAAGAATGGGTAAATAAGTTGCAGTGTATTCATACAGCGGAATGCACACACCCAGACACCATGGTGAGCGGAAGCAGCAAGCATCCTTAGTGGACGAGTCCATTCATACGACATTCCAGAATAGACAAAACTAATCTCAGGGCGATACAAGAACACTGGTCGCCCTGGCCAGTGTGGCTATTGGTTGGAGAGTCGTCCTGTACACCGAAGGGTTCAATTCCCAGTCAGGGCATATACCTAGGTTGCGGGTTCAGTCCCCAGTTGGGGCGTGTAGGAGAGGCAACCATATCGAGTGAGGACAAAAAAAAATTTTTTTTAAATAAAAGAATACTGGTCATCCAGGGAGAGGGTATAAACCAGAAAAGGGCATGAGAGAAGTCCTGGGGTCCAGGAAATATTCCTGTATCTTCATCTGCTGATTACCCATTATGTGTAAAAATGCATCCCATTCCACACTCAAGATCTGTGCACTTTATGCACTTCAATGTATATATATTATACTACAAAGCTCATTTTAAAAAATATACCTCACTGCTTCATATACCACTGGTTGGCTGCATCTCTGTTCTAGTCTTCACGCTGGGACCCAGGTGCATGGTCTACTCTGCACCTGGAATGTGGCTGACGCTGGGCTAGAGGGAAGGCACGTGAGCCACACGCTGCCTCTTACAGTGTCTGCCTTGGGACACACACCACCTCTACCTACCTGTCCTTGACCAAGCCCAAGCTCAACAGCAATAAGACGTACAATCCTCCTATGAGGCAGGAAGTCAGAAGTTCTGGCAAGGAGACAGCCACTCCATCAGGGATGCTCAGCTAACAGCTGTTGCTGTATCAGGGCAGAAAGGAAGGTTCGGATGTGCAAGGATGCATGCGTGTTTTGAGAACAAAAAAATTCAGAAACACTCCAAAGAAATTAGAAGCAAATCATAATTACGAACTCAGGAACAAGTATACAACAAACAGATGAGCAATGAAACTGGTGAAAAAGGAGTTTGGGCCAAAACATTTTTTTGATAACATGACTCAAGTTTAATGTCACCATTAAAAGATCCTTAAGGCCAAAACCGGTTTGGCTCAGTGGATAGAGCGTCAGCCTGCGGACTGAAAGGTCCCAGGTTCGATTCCGGTCGAGGGCATGTGCCTTGGTTGCGGGCACATCCCCAGTGGGAGATGTGCTGGAGGCAGCTGATTGATGTTTCTCTCTCATCGATGTTTCTAACTCTCTATCCCTCTCCCTTCCTCTCTGTAAAAAATCAATAAAAATATATTTTAAAAAAAAAAAAAAAAAAAAAGATCCTTAAGATAGAGGTTTATGTGAGAAGTTTGGAATTCTGAACTTTATTCTATATGTTCCAACAAAACCCAGGAGACAGTGTGTGTGTGTGTGTGTGTGTGTGTGTGTGTGTGTGTGTGTGTAGGAAGGACAGAAATCTGACATTCTGCTGAGTTCCTTAATGTTTAAGGAGGAAGGACGCCCTAAGTATGTGATACTGAGAGAAATATAAATCAGAGTTATTAGCACAGAAATAAGATGTTAAATGATAAATTTACTAGAGGGGAAATTTTTAATCAAGCAAATAAAAAGAAAAAAAATAAAATAGAAAAATGAACTAAATGGCAAATAATACTGCAACAGTGATCACAATTAACAAGTTAAACTCACTTATGGACTTTGCAGATTTCACTTAAAAAGTAATCCTAGCCCAAGATGGTCTGGCTCAGTGGATAGAACATCGGCCTGCAGACTGAAGGGTCCTGGGTTCGATTCCAGTTGAGGGCACGTACCTTAGTTGCAGGTTCCTCCTGAGCCTGGGCCCTGGTTGGGGCTCGTGCAGGAGGCAATCAATCAATGTGTTTCTCACATCGATATTTCTATCTCTCCCTCTCTTCCACTCTCTCTAAAAATCAATGGAAAAATATCCTCAGGTGAGGGTTAAAAAAATAATAATAGTAATAATAATCCTAGCCCTAGCCACGTGCTCAGCTGGTTAGAGCGTCATCCCAATATACCAACATTGTGGGTGTATCACAATGAGTTGGTATATGGAGATGTAACTCAATTGATTTCAGAGAGGAAGGGAGAGGGAGAGAGAGATAGAAACATTAATGATGAGAGAGAATCATCAATTGGACGCCTCCTGCACGATCGAGACCACAACCCGGGCACATGCCCCTGACCAGAATCGAACCAGGACCCTTCAGTCTAAAGGCCAAGGCTCTATCCACTGAGCCAAACCAGCCAAGGCAATAAAAACACATTTTAAAAATAAAAAGTAATCCTAGCAACATGTTTATAAGCCCCTCATCTAAAACGACAGAGAAAAAGGATATAAATTCAAAACAAAGCACCAAACAGGATACCAGAGCTACTTTAATGCTGATGAGGAAATACCTTTCATGAGCTCTTTCAAACTAAGCAACATAACTGAAACTCACAAAAGAAGCTGTAAAGAGAAACTGGAAAACATGACAATAGCAGAATCATTTACTTTTCTTAGAAATGAACAGATAGTATAGCCCCCCCCCCCAAAAAAAAGAGGGTGGAGGGAAAGGGCAAAAAACAATAAATTTGAATAATATACAAGCCCAATTTCACAGATTACATAAAACTTTATACCAAACCAACAACATGCGTTATTTTTCAGAATACTGACCATGATCCTCTTCCCCAAATCATTCTGAAATTCATCTGGGAAAATGTGCAGAAGAACCCAGCACTTCCTCAATAAGGTAAGAACATGCAGAAAGAAGGCTGTTAGCATGTGTGCACCTGCCATCAGAGGTTGTCTCAAGCCACCTGTGGCTACTGAAAACCTGAGCTGTGGTTAGTCTGGATGGACAGCCTGGAAGCGTGACGTATATACACCAATTTCAAAGACTGAGTAAAATAACTCATTAATGTTTTTAATGTCCATTACATATTGAAATGATAGTGGGTCAAACTATTACTAATTACAGCTCTTTCTTTTTCCTTTGTATTGTGGCTCCTAGAAACATTTAGATTACACTGGAGGCTCCTATATTTCCATTGGACAGTGCTGGTCTAGAAACACCTAGATTCTCCATCTTCCTGCCCAAATGTCTCTATGACATTTCTCAATGGAGGCTAAGCTTTCCTCTGAGATCAGCAGACGTTAGAAGGCTCACCCTGTTGGCCTAGATGCTACAGGGGTTTCCTGGTGTGGTTTACATCACTAAAATTTTCATGTTTCATATAAGCAAAATAACTAATCTCTCCTGTTGTAATGTTTTGTTTATTTCATTCTAAGTTTCAAAACTTTCCCATGAGCCGATCATTTACCCACAGTGGCATTTATCTGGGGAGACAGGACAAGGCACCATCCTCCTCCTATGGCTTCAGAGGAGCCATGGCTGGGAGAACCTGGCAGGGGCAAAGCCTGGCTTTGCGTCTCAGCTCAGTTCCTTCCAAAACCCACTTTCTCCCGTCACTACCTCCCACCTCCAGGGTCAGTCCCCGCCTCACTGGGTTGTCATGAGGACCACGTCTACCTATAAAACAGCAGTGTCCGAAACAGTGACCCTGCTCCATAACTCTGGCTGCTAAATGTTTTATCCTAAGCCTGTGATGGTGAGAAATACCACTGCGTGGCATAACTGAGGCTGGATGAGGGGTACCCCGAGGACCAGAGGGGAGGTCACTAACACAAGTATCTGAAATGAGAACAGGCTGGGAACTCGAGCCTCCTCCGCCCAGCATCCCACTTCCCTCCAGCACCCCGGCCACCAACCTCTCTCCAGCAATGGCTTTTCCTGGGAGTTTTCAAACTCACACTTAAGCTGTCCGCTGGGTGGTGCACAGGTAATTAATTCAAAGAACAAGTCTAAAAAGTACATGCCAGGATGGTGGCGCTAGACATCTGTAAATCTGTTCCTCCGTAAAAGCGACAAGATTGTCCTAGCTGGTTTGGTTCAGTGGATAGAGTGTCGGCCAGCGGACCGAAGGGTCCTATGTTTGATTCCAGTCAAGGGCAGGTACCTCAGTTGCAGCTCCCAGTCCTGGTCGGGAGGTAACTAATCAATGTGTCTTTCTCACATTGGTGTTTCTGTCGCTCCCTCTCCCTTCTACTCTCCAAAAATCAATGGAAAAAATATCCTCGGGTGAGGATTAAAAAAAAAAGTGACAAGATTACTGGAAAAATGGTCAAAATCAACTTTTCCAGAACCCTAGAAAGGCTCACAACAATCGGAGAAGTGTTTTTTCAAAGAGTACATGCCTTCAGCAACCTCCAGCATGTTTATTAAACCCCAAAGGCTCAGCTGAAAGAACCTGAGACACATGGGCAACCCACCTCCTTTCCCCCACTGCTCTCCCCTCTCTCCATGGGGCCTTTATCCAGGGATGCCGACCCCATTGCTTGTCACCCAGGAGACATCCCAGAGGGAGCCCCTGGCTTTGGTCTCTGGTTCATCCACCTCCCCATCTTCCTCCCTGCACCAAAACTGTGTAGTTCCCTCCATTAAAACCCCTTGATGGCTCCCGAATATAAGTCCAAATCTGCACACCAGGCTTTGCAAGCTCTCCCCAAACTAACTTGAGGTCTCCCGTATTCCCTCGCTGCTCCAGTGATGAGGGCTGCACAAAAAAGGCCAAGACCTGCTGTAACACGACTTGGCTGAATCACACTGATCACCGCTGGGACTGGGACTACTGACAGCCTAGACTGCATGAGAGCTCATGTGGCCCCTCTGCACAGCAGGCGCAGGTCCATGATTTCACTTCATGGGCACCATTCACCACCTCTTCCTACAGATGAGGGAAACTGAGGCTTTAACCAGGCGTTAGCGAAGCTCTGTGGGAGAATTCTTTCCGTGTGAAGGACCCTGGGGCTATCTCAGCTCCCTAGAGACCCCCAGAGGCCTGAGCCTGCCTTTGAGGAAGGACTGGTAAGTCAAGATTTATCATCTGCTCTCAACATGTATGTATATTTTATATCATTCTTAGCACTATGTGGTAATAACTTAATAGACCTTTAAGAATGCATAACCAGCCCTGACTGGTGTTCTCAGTGGTTAGAGCATCAGCCTACACATAGAAGGATTGTGAGCATGATTCCCAGTCAAGGTCATACGCCAGGGTTGCGGGTATGGTCCCCACCCCACCCCCCGTCAGGGCACATGCGGAAAGCAATTGATATGTCTCTCTCACTTCGGATCTCTCTCTTTCTCTCTCTCTCTCTCTCCTCCCCCCTTCTGTCCTCCCTTCCAATCTCTTTGAAAAGCAATGAAAAAAGTATCCTCTGGTGTGGTTTAACAAAAGAAGGAAAAAAAAGCATAACCAAAGAATTCTGGAAACCAGCGCTTTAAACTCAAGCTTGGCTGTTTTTGAGATACTCACTGGGGAAGCCAGAGGACTCTTGCTGCCACCTTGTGGGTCACGGAGGGGAAAAGGCCAGGTGGAAATTTCTGGATAACCTGTCTTCAAAGAGCCATAGCTCTCCAGCCCAACCATGCTACAACCACCCTCTTTATTCCCCAACCCTTTTCACCATGGAACAAATGAACTCAAAGCTCTAGAGTATACAATTCAAGATTTATATAAGCTTAATTTACTTATTTTAAAATTGCACAACGCAGGAAGACAGTTTAAAAAAGAATCAAACACACCATTGCAAGGTAATTCAATGAGCTGCTTTTTTTTTTAAACAAATTTGTACAGAAAAAAAAAAATCCCGGATCACAATCTATATCATACAGTCACCCTGTTCAATATGTGGGGCGCCATGGGAGCCCCAGTGGAGGAGCTGATGGGCAGCTGGACTGCGGAAGTGGAAAAACCTTGAGTTCCCTTTGTTCTCCAGTGTATCTTGTATAAAATATTACATTTTTAAACACGTATTTACAGTGTTTGCACAAATAGAAAACGGTTACAAATCACAACCAGGCTTGGCCGGGTAACAAACACTTCCCTTCTCCCACGGACCAAGGCCAGAGAAAGTTCTGATTGCTTTGTATTTACATATGCATTAAAAAGTCTGTCTTCTTAGACACCTAGGTGAAGTTTATAAAAACTGGGTAACATCATAAATTCATTTACGTCAGCTGTACAAATGATCAGTACCAATCAGTCAGTTCATGTCCTGCTCCCTGAAGGAAGATTTTGGAGCAAAAGAAACCCTCTCAAAC